CAAATTTTAAGAAAACGAAAAAAATTCATTACAGCCGTAAAAAGCCATTTTAACCCCACCATTTTTTTACAGTCAAATGCGCTTTTAATAAGCTTTATTTTCTGCAAAAATGAAAAAAATTGATACACGGGATGACACTTGAAAAAAATAAAGTTTGTATTTTAAACAAATTTTGAGAAAACGAAAAAAATTCATTACAGCCCTAAAAAGCTATTGTAACTCTACCTTTTTTTACAGTCAAATGGCCTTTTAATAAGCTTACATTGAAAACGTCAAAAAACTATCTACAATAATCATTTGCAATTGAAAATGCTTATTTTTTCATGTTTTGTAAAATATTATGCTTTATTTTAATAACATTCCAATAATTTTTCGAGTGTGAACCTGGCTGCACGAAATGAAAATGGTGGGACAAATTTTAGCATTACGATTCTAGTACTTTTCTTGTTATAGAGTTATTCACCAAGATGTCAAAAAAATATAAAAATAGTGACAGGGAAAAAAAAGAGACAAAAAATCGTGGATCAACATTTTATTGAAAAACAATAACAATTTTAACTAAATGTCAAGATCATCGTCGGGGTCCTCTTCATCCCAATCATCAATCTCGTCCAATAAATAGTGAATTTTCCCCCCTGAACTGTCATTTTCCCTAAAAAAACTTGCATAAATCCCCACTAGAGGGCGCTTTTCCAAAGCTTACTTGGGTAAATAGGGTAAAACTAAACCATCCCTTGATTCTTTCTCTTTCTCAGTGAGACTTATCTTGAAAGTGGTTAAATTCTGAGGCTGATTTAAAGTTTCACTGATTATTTCCGTGTCTGGTTTTTTGATTGTTTCAGTCACAAATTTCTTATCTTCGAAATGATAATTCTCGAGTTGGTTTATAACTTTTCTTTGACTCTTTTTATACAAATAGGATAATCGTTTTTTATCCAATTCTATACACAAAGTCGCTAAATGTCGAAAATATTTAATTGTGTCTTTATTTTCCAATAAGTCTGTGTGTAATATTGTGACAATTTGTAGCACATCTGAAACTCAAAATGAAATCACTCTAATTTTGCAAAAATACTCACTTTTTCGATTTTTCAATTCTGTGAATAATTTATACGTTTCAGACACCCCATAATGGTACAAAACATGACTCAGGGAGTCAACAAAAACCACACAATTCTCACTCAAATTTAAAACACTCCTCAAATCGTTACTTTTACCAAACCAATTTCGCAAATCACTTGTAAAATCATGACAAGTGCAAGAACTGTGTCTATCCCTCAACTTATTAAAATTACTTTCAAAAACAAGTAAATGAGTCTTGTAATCACTTTTCGCGTGATTTCTGAGCTGGTGTTCTAGGACTTCGCCCCCTTTTGCTGACACCGAATCTAGAAAATAAAATTAGTGGTGAATTGACACACTTGAACTCACCTTCAATCAACACGAATTTGGGGTATGGCAAAGAGTTTAAATAAGTGGACAACATTATTTGTAAACACGCTGCAATGACACTAAGTGAGGTTAGGGGCAACACTAAGTGTCATTTAACACAGAATTGACAATAATTAATTAATCTTTTTTTATTATTTTGCTTATTTACGGAAAAACGTAGTCAAAAAATTGAATTTAAACTTAGAAAAAAGATAATTAATGATTAATTTAGTTATAATTGGTGATTTTTACGTAAGTAGTTGGCGGCCATGTCAATACTGAAATTAACAATAATTAAATTAGTCGGATTATTTATTTATTATTATTGTTAATTGCGCCACAAACAGTGTCTGGAAATGAAAATTAAATTCAGACTGGTTAAAAACTAAATTAATTGCGTTGTAGTTAGCTTCATTGGTGATTTTGATGTCAGTGGTTGGCCGCCGTGCTTGTCAAATCAATAATGAATCATTAGGACAAAATGCAACAATTGTACAATAATAACAAATAACAACAATGTCTGAGCCCAGCGTGAACGTAAGTGTCTTTTTCTCCCCCAATTTGTTAATTTGAGGTTATGTCTTGTAGGACACTAGTGAGACCGAAAGCCTTGAAGACGAAATCGAGCCAAAACTGAAATACGTGCGCTTATCTAACGACTTGCAGAACATTTTGTTGACCTCCTCGGCCACTTGCATCGGTGTGCACCCGAAATTCATCTGTCTGGGGTCCCACTGGGGCGTCATCCATCTCCTCGACCACCAGGGGAACAGCATCAAGAGCAAGGAATTGCGCCCCCATACTGTCGCCGTCAACCAGATTTGCATCGACGCCAGTGGCGAGTACATCGCGACGTGTTCTGACGACGGCAAAGTCTTCATCCACGGCCTCTTCTCGAAGGAAAACAGCCTCCATTTGAACGTGGGGCGACTGGTCAAGACCGTCGCTTTGGACAAAAACGGGGCCAATCGCAGATTCATCACCGGCGACGATAAACTAACACTTTACGAACGCAGTTTTTTGGGCAGTCTCAAACCCACGGTTTTGTGCGAAAGCGAAGGCCTAGTGCGGAGTCTCTCCTGGGGGGAGAATTTCATCGCATGGGCGAGCAACATTGGGGTGAGGGTGTACGACATCACAGCGAGGTGCTCTCTAGGACTCATCAAATGGGAGGAACATCCTGGGTGAGTCCCCGAATTTATCAAACCCGAATAATTCCCTTTTCAGGATTTCCATTGATAAGTTTCGGTGTAATTTGAGATGGGCTGATAGTCGAACACTGCTGATTGGATGGGTGGACACAGTACGGGTCTGTGTCATACGCAAAAGGAGCAACTTTGAAATGGCCAATCGGGACTTACCCGAATTTTTAGTCGATCCGGGTAAAAATAGCACAAAGTGGCAACGCTGTCGGACATTTTCACATTTGTTACCATAGAAACCAACTAATTGACGTTTGTTACTATGGTAACCGACAATTTTTCGATGCGCTGTTGCCATACTTTGTTTTTATTTATTTGTACATATACAGGGTGTGGGGAAAAAGTTACAATTTTTTTTAGTGTCAACGTTCCAAACCGAGTTTTATATTAGTGGAATTGCGCCGCTTGATCACCAGTTGGTTTTGTTGGGTTTTCCGAAGGAATTAGACGAGAATCAAAAATCGTTGCGTCCACAATTGTATATAGTCGAATATAGAGATAACGATTATTCGGATGTTTGTACTGATAGCTTATCACTGCGTGGTTACGAAGAATACACTGTTAATGATTATCACTTGGATGTGTTAATTGAAGAAAATCGGTTTTTTATTGTCGCACCACGAGATGTCGTTATTGCAAGTCCTTACGATTTGGACGATAGAATTCAATGGTTCATCCAACACAAGTATTTTTTTAATACAATTTTTCTTTGATTGAAATTTAACGTTTTTAGTAAATTTGAAGACGCTTTGGATATTTTAATGCAGAGTGACAGCCGCCACATTCACCGACATACCGTTCAGTCTGTTGGTATCGACTATTTAGATCATTTATTAAGTCGGGAAATGTACGATGAAGCTGGGAAATTATGTATGAAAATTTTTGGAAAAGACTCAAACACTTGGGAGGATCAAATTTATAAGTTTGCAACAGTACACCAATTACGGTAAAACCCCCGAGAAAGTATCACTTGTACCAACTTAAAATTCCAGGTCTGTAAGTCCCTATATTCCACGAGCGCTAGATTCGAAACTAAATCCGCACATTTACGAAATGATTTTGTACGAATTTTTAAAATTGGATGCACAGGTGAGGGAAATTATCAAGTGGGTGTGTGAAATAAGGGCGGTTTTAGGGTTTTTTGAATTTGGTTAAAGAGTGGAACCCGAATTTGTATAACGTTTCAGCGGTGATTAACGCCGTTTTGGAACATCTGCTAGTCTGTGAAATTGATAAAAATCTCTACTTGGAAGCTTTAGCTATTTTGTACAGTTTTTTGAAACGTTATGACAAAAGCTTGTCGATGTATCTCAAGTAAGTTAAAAAATAATTGTTTAAAATCTTTAAATTGTTTCAATTGTTTAGGTTAAAGCACAAAGACGTTTTTACCCTAATCCAGAAACATAATTTGTATGGTGTGATTCAAGACATGCTCATTGACTTGATGGAACTTGACCATAAAAAAACCATAGCTCTTTTATTAGAAAAAAACTCAATTTCGAGCGACAAAATCGTCGAAAAGCTCAAATCGACTGAATTACATTTATACAGGGTGAGGAAATTTCACAACGGGGTCACAAATAACGACTTGTAGTTTTTAGACGAGTATGATAAGAAAAATCCTAAGGGGAAGTACCACCGTGAGTTGGTACGTCTGTATGCGATTTTCGCGCGTGAAAAATTGCTCCCCTTTTTGAAAAAATCCGACCATTACCCAATCCAAGAAGCGTTAGATATTTGCAAAAAAGAGAAATTTTACCCCGAAATGGTGTATTTGTTGGGGCGAATGGGAAATATCGAGGAGGCTCTTGATTTGATAATAAACGAATTGAAAGATATGCAACAGGCGATTTCTTTCTGTCAAGAACACGACGATCCCGATTTGTGGAATGACTTAATTAATCATTCATTAAATAAACCGGGTAGAAAAAAAAACAATTATCACAATTATTACTAATTTTCCGTTTCAGAATTTATCAAATTTCTATTGCAAAGTATCGGGACTTATGTCGATCCGACTGTTTTAGTACAAAAAATCAAAAACGGCATGGAAGTACCCGGCTTAAAAAATTCTCTAGTGAAAATGTTGTATCAATATAATCTTCAAGTTTCCGTTCAGGAAGGGTGCAAAAAAATTCTAGTCTCGGATTATTTCAATCTTTTACGAAAACTCGTCAAGACGCAACAGAAAGGTAAGAAAGAAATCACAGGTTTTTGTCACCAGTGATCGAAAATTTTCTACTTTTATGAGACAGGAAGAAAGTTAATTTTTCGTTGATTGGAAAAATTTTAGCTGTCTCTAAGTGTAGAAAATGGCGTTTTGATTATTTCCCCAAACAATTTTTTGTTTAAATTAATTCAATTCTTTAGTTATCAAGATTCATTCACATTGCATAAATGAAATTTAAAAATTAACTTGTTTTTATTATACCGAGTGAACAGAAATGGAACTAAACGTTTTTTGTTTAAACTATTTATTTTTTGATAAGTACTATAAAAATGTAACGTTTCTCAAGAATAAAATGTTTCGAAATTTTTTGTTTTACTATAAAACTTTTTTTACAAAGGCTATGATCTAAGGATTACTGCTTTTTACTATTTATTCAATTTATATCAAAAAAAATTTCGTACAAGTTGCCATTTTGAGAAAGAAATCGCAAAACTCAAAAACAAAACAAAATTTCATTTTCACCACATCTTTTATGGCAATTATTATTTTCTCAACGCAAATGATTTAAAAATGGTTCCATACTTTTTGTTCACTCTGTATATCTACAGGGTGTTCCCATGAAAACGAGCCACAACGAATATCTCAGAAACTAAAAAGACTTTGCAAAAACGCCGAAACAGGTCAATTTTGTTTCCGAGGGGGACATTTTTTGATGTAATTTTTAAAGCACCCCCAGTCACCCCCTAACCCCCACACACCCCAACTTGAAAAATTTAAATGACACTACCCTACTTGTGGCACATCAAATGAAAGCTATTTTAACAAGCTTTTCAAAACTTTTTACCAAAATTAAATCAGACCATCCATTAAGGAGGTACAGAGTGTTCTAATAAAAACGAACTAGACAAAATTTGCAAAAAAAAACCGAAAGAGGTTAATTTTGTTTTTAAAAAAGACTTTTTTTGACACAATTTTAAATGCACCCCCACTAACCCTTTAACTTTTTCCACCTCAATCTCGGAAATTCAAATGACACTAACTCACCTACAACAGATCAAATAAAAGTGTTTTTAAAGTGTTCTTTGAACCCCTTTTCGGATTATCTTTTCATAAGATAATGTTTCTAATTAGTAATTACTTCTAATAAAAACTGTTACAAAAATTACAAGAAACTAACTAATATTGTTAGAAGTATTTATGGAGCTGTAAGAAACTTGTTTTTATTTCTTTATTTTATTGTCAAAATAATTGTACAAGGGATAATAAAGTGTCTTATAATTTAATGTAAGTATCTAGAAAATAACAATGTAGTTCTTAAGTTCCTTTGTACATACTGACTGCTGAAAGATTAGTTTTTTGTCGATATTTTATGAATTTTATGAAAAAGCATTTTATTTTGGAAAAAAGCTTTTAAAGAGCAGTGTTTTCATTTTTTGTATCAGTAGTGGTTGGAGCTCTATTGACATAGAGGTCAAAGGGTTAGTGAAGGTGCTTTTAAAATTGCATTAAAAAATGTTCCTTTTAAAAACAAAATTAAGCTTTCGGTTTTTTTTGCAAATTCTTTCTGGTTTGTTTTTATTAGAACACCCTGTATCTCATGAATGGATGGTTTGATTTAATTTTTGAAAAGCCTGTTAAAACAGCTTTTAATTTTTAAAGTTGGGGTGTGTGGGGGTTACTGGGGGTGCTTTTGAAATGTTGATTAGTATTTATCATTAGTCTTTAAATAACAAAAATAGAAATTGTCATTATTGATCGGTACCACTTGAAATGCCCGACACGTACTAAAAACCGTCGCAAGGTGTCGCTCTAATATCACGCTAGCGACTACCTAAAGTCCTTTTGGAGTTAAAACCTCGAAAGGCCAACGTTTTGTTATCGCTTCTCGGCCTTATGGCTAAGATCAAAGTGTAGTATCTGTTCTTATCAGCTTAATATCTGATACGCCCCGCATGCGGGGCCAGTATATTAAACTGATTTTTGGAATTTGACGAAGGCGAGGAGCTTGCTCCACCTTCGTCGCGGGTTGGCCCGACATTGCAGTACAGTCGGGATCGGCCCATCTAACACAATTCAAACATACAGGGTGATCCAAAAGTCTGATGAAACTATCAAATTTTTTGGCAATGGCTATAAAAATGCTATTCAAAAAAAATTTTGAATATTAATTAATTGTTTAACTTGCGAGATAAACATATAGTAAAAATCAGGGGGGTAGACCGGTACGTCATCAATTTCATTTTTTCATTACCAACTTAAAAGTGACATTAAAAATTCTATCACAATGTAAACTGAAACAATTAAAGGGTCTCTAAGGATGGTAGTCTTGAACATTAATTTACTTCAACTAGACCATTTAAATGTCATGTTCGAGTGAATTTGACATTGACATTAAATTGAAACCTACCACAATTTTTTTTTAGACAACGTGTTTGTTACAAGAATTGTTGCTGTGCATTTTTTTTTTGTAAACCTCTCCCTTTTTTTGTTAAAAAAATGTTTGATTTACAAGAATTCAAGAATTTTTTGGAGTAAACTACCAGTTTTTTTGGAAATAAATTAATAAATGTTTTAAGGTTGTAAAAAAGCGATGCCAAAAAAATTATTTTAATTA